TTTTCTATAGATTTATAAAAATGGGATCATACTGGGTATACTCATTTTGTCTGGTTTCTTTCACTTAGCATAATTATTCTGAGATTCATCCATATGGTTGCAGGTATCAATAGTTGATTGCTTTTCATTGTTGAGTGGCATTTCATTGTATGGATATGCCACAATTTGTTTATCCATTTACCTATTGATGAATATTCGAATTGTTTCAGTTTTTGGCTATACAAAAAAAGCTGCATGAATACTCATGTTAAGTTGCTGTGTGGACATATCTCCTAGGTAAATTCATAAAAGTGGAATGGCTGGGTCACATGGTAGGTGTATGCTTCAATTTTTAAGAAACTGTTCTACTTTTCCAAAGTGGTTGTGTCATTTTACTCTCCTACCAGCAGTGTATGAGAGTTCCAGTTGCTCCATATTCTCGCCAACACTTGATGTGGTGAGTCTTTTTAATTTTAGCCATTCTAAAATTACAATGAGATGTAGGTATCTCATTGTAATTTTAATTTGCATTTCCCCAATGACTAATGATGTTGAGCATCTTCTCATGTGCTTATTTGCCACCTGTATACCTTCTTTGGTAAAGTGTAGGTTGAAATTATTTGCACACTTTTAAAATTGTTTATTATTATTAAGTTTTGAGAGTTCTTTATAAACTCTCCACAAGCCCTTTATTAGATATATGATTTGCAAATATGTCTCCCAGTTTTGGGCTTTTATTTTCATTCTCTTAAAAGCATGTTTTGAAGAGCAGAAATTATTAATTTTTATAAAATCCAATTTATCCATTTTTCCTTTTATATATTGTGCTTTATTTCTAAGTATTTTATATTTTATACTATTGTAATTAGTATTATTTAAAAAAATTAATTCCTTATTTTTTTGTTACTAGTGATACAATTAATTTGTAAACATTTAACTTTTATCCTGCCAACTTGATAATTCACTTATTAATATGAATAGCTTTTTTTGTAGATTCTATTGGATTTTCTATGTAGGAGATCATGTCATTTGTTTATAAAGGTAGTTCTATTCTTCTTTTCCAATATGGATTTTTTTATTTATATTTCTTGACTTATTGCACCCACTAGAATCTCTAGCAGAATGTTGAATAGAAATGGTGAAAGTGGATATCCTTGTCTCCTTCTTGATATTTGGGAAAGAGCATTCTGTCTTCCACTTTAAGCATTATGTTAGCTGTAGAGTTCTTTTGTAGATTCTATTTATCAATTGAGGATATTACCTTTTATTTCTAGTTTGCCAAGAGTTTTCAGGAATAGATGTTGGACTTGGTCAAATACTTTTTCTGTGTCTTTTGAAATGGTGATATAATTTTAGCTTTTTAGTCTGCAAATATGGTAAATTTCATTGATTGATTTGTAAATATTAAACTAAAATTCATTTGCTTGATCATGATGTTTTTGGATGTATGGTGTTTTGCTGGATTCAATTTGATGAAATTTTGTTTAGAATTTTAGCAGTTATATTCATGAGGGATATTGCTTTGTTGTTTTCTTTTCCTGTAATGTCTTTGTCTGATTTTGGTATCAAGGCAATTCTGGGCTCACGGAATGAGTTGGAAAGTGTTCCTTCCTCTTCATTTTCCTGATATATTTTGGTACTATTCATTTTCTGGCCTTATTTTTCCTTAATTATTTTGTGGAATTCACCAGTGAAGCCATCTGGGCCTGGAGTTTTCTTATAGGAAGATTTTAAATTATAAATTTAACTTCTGAAATAGATACAGGACTATTCAGGTAACCTATTGCTTCTATAGTGAGCTTTGTTAGCTTTTATCTCTCATTTCATTTAAATTGCCAGCTTTATCTGCATAGCGTTGTTCACAATATTTTCTTATTATTCCTTTAATATCCATAGACTCTCCAGTGTTGTCATTTCTTTCATTCCTGTTTTTGATAATTTGTGTCTTCTCTCTTTCATTTCTGGTCAGTCTGGCTAGAGGTTTATCAATTTTGCTCATCTTCTCAAAGAATCAGCTTTTGGTTTCATAGATTTTCTCTCTTGTTTTTCTGTTTTTTGTTTTATTGCATTGTTTTCCATTCCTCTCTCCTGTTTACTTTGTGTTTAATTTGTTCTCCTTTTTCTGGTTTCTTAAGGTGGAAATTGAGGTCATTTGTTCGAAACCTTTCTTCTTTTCGGGTATTTAGTGCTATAGAATTCCTCCTAAATACCTGAAGATGCTTTAGTGGCATCCCACAAATTCTTTTTCTAAAAATTTGTTTAACTTCTGCCTTTTTTTCCAGCTTTATTGAGCACAAATTCTGATATGTGGTATTTTCAGTTTCCCTTCTGAATGTTTCTTTGACCCTGTTCCCTTTTATCTTTTCTTCCCCTGCCCTCAGGTAGTTTCATTACCTGCATGTGCTAATCAGTACTTTGCTGAATATTTAAGAGGGACCCTCTGCAGACCTCTGGGGTGCTCTCTCACTACATCACTCTCTTCCATGCTACTCTGTCCTTGTGAACTCTGCCCTCCTTGATTTCCCTGGACTCTCAGCTATATCTCGTTAACTCAGGGAGTTGGACTCTGCCTGGGTTCCCTCACCCTGAGCCACAGCCTTCATTGTCTTGTGTCCACTGTCCTGAAAATTGTTGTTTCAGGTGTTTTGTTCAGTGTGTTGTTGGTTTGACTAGGAGGTTAAATGTTCCCTATTACTCCATCTTAGTCAGAAGCAGAAACTGGCAGTATTTCTGTTTCTGTTTTAATAACCCAGTATTGAATGTTAAAATCAATTTATTGTGTTATTACAAGCATTAGAAAATGAAATCGTATAAAATAGAAAACAAAATATCATTGTATTCTATGCATTAAGAGAAAATAAGTTTTGTTTAGTGCATATGTGTATGTGTGCCTTGGATTGTGATATAAAAGGCATTTCTTTCTGTAGGCCATGGTGAAAATAGTTTGAGAAACATTGTTCTAGGTACATCATGGTCCAGTACAGGCAAGAGTCTGCAATACTTAGTCTCCATCTCTGCCTTGAAGAGTTCATATGATCTAGGGAAAATTATCTCTGTTTTATTTTGTCCACCTGAAAAATGTTCACTATCACCTACAAAGCCATCGTCTGAGAATCCGTGATATCTCTGTGAAATACCTTGTAGGTCTTAAACTGAGATAGATTCATAATTCTATGGGTTGAGAAACAGTTACTGATTGCCCAGTGTGTTTCAGGCACTGTGCATGAAAATGTTGAGGTACCAGCCTTAACCAGAGGGAAGCCTTCCCTGACCTAGTGCCAGAACATACCTGGCCCCTAGAGAAGGCAGAAAGTCAGGCTTCAAGAAATGCTGTGAGTTTTCACAGCACAGGGAAGATTGTGGAGACAGGAAGGAAGGTGTCCAGGGATAATCATTCAGGTAGACTTGCAGGGTTAGAGGTTAAGAAAGTGAGAATGTGGGGACTTCCCTAGTGGTCCAGGGGTTAAGAATCTGCCTTCTTAGTTCCCCGACGTGGGCTCCATCCCTGGTCAGGGAACTAAGATCCCACATGTCCTGGGTCAACTAAGCCCACGTGCCACAACCAGAGAGCAGCCCAGCGAGCTGCAAGGAAGAGCTTGCTTCATTGCATGCAGCAATGAAGATCTGGCAGGTGCCAACTAAGACCCGACGCAGACAAATAAACAAATAAATATTTTTTAAAAAAGAAAAGAAAAGAAAAACAAAGAAAGTGAGAATGTGGATGGCCTATTTGAGGAATCTCAACTTCAGTTTATTTCATTAAACACACACATATATTTTAATACCCACTATATCCTTGAGATGTGTTAATGAAAAAATAAAGATCCTTGCTTTCATGCAGTTTACATTCTACTGGGAGAGATACAATAACTAGTAAATATAATAAGTAAATGATCTGTTAAAAGATGGTAAGTACTATAGAAGAAACAGGGCAGGAAGGGAAGGGTGATTAGAAGTGAGGCCGCCAGTTTTAATTTTAAGTGAGAGAAATTCAGTGGGGGCATATTTAGAATCTAAATATAATAGTATTATATATCTATTATAATACAAATTCTAAAGATATCCCAACATAATTAGAATCTTCTGGTCTGCACACCACTCTAAAACTGTCCTTTGGATGTTGCACTGACAGTTTGCAGCCACTAGGGTGCAAATGGGCCATTTCTGGGAAAAATGGGATGAGAGTGGAGGTGTGAGAGAGATGTGGATATTTCTGTATACACTCTTCCCCCAGGTGTTCCGCAGGGGCAGCTCCATTAAGGACATTGGCAAGGCAGGAGGAGGACTGTTATTGTATGACCTGGACCAAGACATTTTTGCCCTTGGCTTCCCTACTTTGGCACATCCTCACCCAGCAGGGGCTGAGCTAGAAATGAACTTCAGTCTGGCCATTCAGCATCCAATGCGTGTCACAGCCGAGTGATGATGGAGAGAGGAAGGCCTACTGGCCTTGTCCTCCCGCCCTGCAACGAGATTTTTGGATGCTGCGCAAGGATTCCCGCTTACACTCAGCGCCCAGGGTCTGTACGAAAAGCCCCACTAAATGCTCTCAGTTCCCTTGTAATATTTAAGGCGTTGCCGAGATCTGAGCATTCACTTTGACGTTCGGGGTTCTCGATCCTTCCCACCCCAAGCATCTTCGGAAAGATTGGTGACCGTTCTTATCTTTTGGATGAGATCCCATCCCGTCGCCCTTTTTCGCGCGGAGGGCAGCCCGCCTTTTCCCGGGGCGGAAGCTAGGCGAGGACTGGATAGCCGAGCTCGAGTCGGGCAGGGGCGCGCACGCGTCGGGCGCCGCCGGTTGCGCATCTGGAGCTAGAGCGCGCCCCCCGCGCAGTGCCCGGCGCGGCCGCGGCAGTGGGTTGGTGCTCCCAAGCGTGCCGGGAGCTCTCTTCCCGCGCGGGGGCACCAGAGCCCTCGGAAGTGTGAGGCACTGCGGTGCATTTTCCCAGTTCCCTTTTAAATGACTGCGGAAAAACAGACTCTCCGAGCCGCAAATGGGAAGACGGATTCTCAGACAAGGCTTGCGAATGCCCCGCAGCCATCATTTAACTGCACCCGCAGAGCAGTTACGGTTTGTCACCCGACCCTCCCGGATCGCCTCATTTGTCCCTAGTGAGATCCCGAGGCTCTGCCCGCGCCGGGCTTCTCAGTAGCTGGATGTATGACGTGCTCCGGGCAGCGCGGGCGCAGGGCACGCGTTCGCGCACACCCGAGCACACACGAAAAGGCGCAAGGTACGGCAGGGGAGCAAGGGCTCTGGGTGCCCCGCGTGGGGGTGGGCATCGCGGGGAATGAAGCTAAGATCTGGGAATGGCTTCATCCTGACAGGTTGAAGGATGAGAAAAAATGACGCGGCGCCACACATCGGACAGGCCAGGGTTGCTGCCGCGCATTTAGGGAACCCAATACGCGTCAGGCGCGCTCCCTTTCCCTCACATGTCTCTGTTTCCCGGGCGTGTGATGCCAGAAAACAGCAGGAAAAAGACCCACTTAGAGAGCTAGAGTTGCGTTTGGAGACTCCCCTTCCTCTGCCAAAGCACAAACAGGAAGACCCTCCAAAAACACCGATCCCCAAATAGATGGCCCGGAATGGGGGCGGTTATCCTTGGTTACCAATGCTGGACACGTTTTGGTGTTTACAATATTTATTTATTTTTAGGATAGCTCGTCCTCCCTTTTAGGCAGGATGGGAAAGGAGAATGCAGCCTGGAGGGAGAAGGGAGGGAGGATTCCTATAATAAGAATCAGCGCATTTTTCAGAGCTGAACCGAGACCGGTTTCCATTTCAAAAAAGGAGACGGCCTCTTCTGCGTTATTAGAAGAGACCGTGGTGTGTAGGGACTGGGAGGCGTCAGAGCGGAGCAACGGTTCATCTCAGAGGTACCTGGATCTAAATGCACGCACACACAAGCACACACAGGCGCGCGCGTCTATACGGCCGGGCTGTGTGCGGGTGTGCGCGTGTGTGAACTCCCACATGCTGCTGCTGTCTGCTTCTGGCCAGTGGCACCGATGCTTCCCTCCTCTCTGCTCGCCCCCAGATTCCCCTCCTCTCCCTGTTGCTTTTGTCTGGAGGGTGTTATGGGTTTGTGTGTGTATGAGCGTGTGTGTTTTTGGATTTCAGACTAATTTTCTGGAGTTTCTGCCCCTGCTCTGCGTCAGCCCTCACGTCACTTCACCAGCAGTAGCAGAGGCGGCGGCGGCGGCGGCGGCGGCGGCGGTTCCCGGAATTGGGTTGGAGCAGGAGCCTCGCTCGCTCCTTCGCTCGCGCTCTCCGAGCTCCGTGCCCAGCGGCAGGAGGAGCCTGGACCCAGGCGCCGCCGGCGGGCGGTAGGTGCCAGAGCCCGGGTGAGCAGCGCGGACAGTGCCCTCCGTCGTCTCGGCCCTCACTGTCCCCCGCTGGGGCGGCCGCGGCGGCTCCCCAGGTGGGACGCGCCGCGCCACCTGCCCGCGCCCCCTGCGCCCAGGGGCCGTGGCGGATTCTGCAGCATCATTCGGGAGCCCCGTCGCGGAACCATCGTCCCTGGCAGTCTCCGCGTCTCCCTTTAAAGGGTCCTCCCCCTGGTCCGTGTCATGGAATCCTGTCGCGGGGACCCTTGCCCTATTTCCCCTCCCTCAACCTCAGGCTCAGGGAAAGAGTGAGCACACCGGAGGCCCTGCGGCGTCAGTGCCATCGAGGAGCCAGTTTATTCCTGGGGCCGGAGCTGGGCACTCATGCATCCACAGTCCCCGGCGGGGCTCGGGGTGGGGGTGACGCGAGCGCGGAGGGCGAGTACCCCAATTCGTGGTGTATGGGGTCTTCAGCTCAGTCTTACGCGTGTCTGTTTGTCCTCAGCCCCGAGGTGCGTCCCGGATCTCAGCGCGAGTCTAGCCAGGAGCCTGCGCCCCAGAGCGTCCCGGGAGCGCCGCGGGCCGGTGCTCGGCTCGCTGGGCCATGCAGCGGCGGCCGCGGCGGAGCCCCGAGCGGCGTTAGCGCCCCCTGTGAGGAGGCCCGGGATGCCCCTGCCACTGTGAACGGTGCCGTCCGCCAGGACACGCTCAGCCCCGGACACGCTCGGCTCTGCACCCCTGAGACGAGCACCAAGAGGAGACAGCGGCGAGCGGGGCAAAGGCCACCCAGCACCGGCAGGGGAGACCGACCAGTGCCGCGCAGGGACACGTACTCAGTCTGACTCGGGCTGGCACTGGTGGCTAGGAATGTCGTCCTGGACGAGGTGGCATGGGCCCGCCATGGCGCAGCTCTGGGGCTTCTGCTGGCTGATCGTGGGCTTCTGGAGGGCCGCTCTTGCCTGTCCCACATCCTGCAAATGCAGCACCTCTCGGATCTGGTGCAGCGACCCTTTTCCTGGCATCGTGGCATTTCCGAGGCTGGAGTCTACCAGTGCAGACCCCGAGAACATCACCGAAATGTGAGTTGCTGGTGCTTTCCCTCCTTCCTCCTCTCCTGACCTCTAGGGCCGGGGCTGGCCAGGCGGGTCCGTCCTGGGCATGAGTGTTGTTTCAAGTCTGGGGAGAAGTCAGAGGTGAGAGGTGCAGGGCTGGACCATCTGTCAGTTACCTGTTTCACTGCCTTGGGGCTGCTGACACGAGAAGTGTGACAATTTAAAATGTTCCAAATGTCTACTATATTATATTCCTATGCACTTTACATTTCAAAGCCCTGCTGGGTGTGCTTTAGGCTTTCCATATGCAATAACTTAGTTTTGGATATTTTTGTTTCATAAGGTGCTCTGTGTATATTGTGTTAGGAGAAGTTCCAGTCATATTTATGAGAAAGGAGGTTAAAATAATTAACTTTAGAAAAATCTGTTGAAGGAAGTTAGAGTCCCCCCACTTAGCTTCGTTCTTTGAGGTTTGGAGTTCACCAATTTCCCTTTTCATTTTATATATCAGATTTTGCTTAGGAGATTGCATCCAGAGATGGCCTTGAAAATGATCTGTAAGAGGAGAAGTTCTGAGAGTTGAAATGCACTGGCTCAAAAGAGAAAATGTGATCGTTGGAAGCCTAAAAGCCTGGTCTGATTTAATTTGGACTTGACTTCCCAGAGATATAATTTTGAGACCATTTGGATTATAAATCTTAATCGCCCATTGAATAGTTCCCCAGGACGAAGTTGGATGATAAAGCAGTGTGTAATAATCTGATGAATGCTACCTTTAGCCTGGGACCCCTAGGTCCCTGGAAATGCTTGAGCTTGTCCTGGTCGAATGGAGAAGCAGAATTATGTATTTCTGTCCTCCTATTCTGACGCCTTGTGACAAATCCATTACCAAGTAGGAATTCACCAGTCCTTTCTCCAGCCTGCCCCTGTCCCCTCTATTAGAGATTCCCTGCCCCCCCCCACCTCCCAGGGACTTTGCCATTTTATGTGTTTCATTGACATGAGATTTTATTCATCCATATAGAGGCTTATAAGGCCAAGTTTCTCCTGGTTTTCTTGAGGCTGTTTGACACCACGATAGGCAGCCCTGAAAGTAGGGCTTGGGCTGTGGCCTTCCGGTTGGCGAGTGCGCATGCATTTCCTCCCCCCCACGGATAACGCCCACCCTGGTTGTGCCAACGTAGTTGACCGAGACAACCTGTTTTTTTAATGTAAGTAAGAGACCTTCCCAGTCTCTGTTGTTTGTTCTGCTGGTGATGCTCCTGTTAGAAGGCTCAGGCAGAAGGCAATGACAACAGAACAGAGCAGAAACGTGCCGGCGCAGCAGTGCTGAGATGTGCCGGGAGCAGCCAACTGTCAGGCTGGCTCTGGGATGCTCCGATGGCAATCGTTTTGGCAAGGAGGGCAGAGGCAGGGCTGGAGAGGAAGGGTGGGTAGGGCCCCGACTGCGCTGGCCCTGGCTTGGGCTGGTGGAAGCGTGCCAGGCTGGTCAAAGTGTCCGTGGCCCTCTGTCAGGATCTGTGTCTTTTTCATGAGATGGGGTGTCAGTAGTCAGATGGAGGAAGCCATATGGAATTCAGAGCTCTTTAGACTATTCTGAGGCCATGGGGAGTGTCTGTATGCAGTTCGATGTTGTTTTCTTTTGTGATTGTTTATAAATTCTGTATTAGGTGATAGATACGTAATGAAGGAGGAAAACTAGGGCTTATTTTTTTTCATTTTAGTACTTTTTAAGGCCATAATTGGAGGAAAAATAAAACTCTCTTTAAATTTCAAAAATATTACTTTACGACGCCTTAGTGGTCTTAGCTGCCTGATATATATGAAATTAACAGACTTGAGTAGAGCTTTCATGTATTAGTTCTCACAATTGTTGTTGCTTTTTTATCTGATGGCAGGTTCCTATTTTCAGGCTTAATTTTTTTTTTTACATTTACCAAAGCATTTGTCACAGTTATTCATTTAATAATGGCTAATCATAACTCCTAATTTCTACTCATTTTCTTCTTTTGATTTGAAAATCCACTGAGACTGATAGAACGGAGAGGTGTGTAGGCTAAGTGTTCATGATGGAGAGTTAGGTTAGAAACATGAGTCAGGCTGATAGGGGTGAACTCTGAGAAAAAGTACTTTTGTCTGCTCATCCCCTCAGCTTTATTTGAGCCTGGGCAGTTTGTGTCCCAGTGTCTTTGTCTGTAGAATGTATTGAAATCTTTGTTTGGAAAGCACTTTGTATAATTATTTTGAATTTTGCTGCTTTGATATCAAAGTGACATCAGTGGTAGGGCTTGTTTCACTCTCATCCTTATATGACACCATCTGTGCTGTCTTTCTTACATATTAATATTTGCTTAAACAGCTTTTAAATTCTCGGCCAGTGGATACCAGCTGCAGTTGAAACCAAATTACACTTTTTTTTTTAACTTTGTTATTAGACCCAATGGTATTCCTAAAATAACCTGTTTTAAAGTTCTAGTTTAATGGAGTTTAGCTGAAATTATATGTTTCTATCTTTTAAAACTAGGACCAATGTAACTAAATAAACCACGATTAGAACTTGCTGACACAACAGTTTACCCTATCATTTAAAAATAGTAAATCTCTTAATATCTATATCTTGGGGGGAAAGCACAACCATTGTGCCTTTTAAGGTGCAGAGAGAGCCCCTGGTAGGACATTTTACAAATATATGTATAGACTAATTAAGGGAGAGGATTTTATTTTTTGATGCTATATGCATATTTTAAGCCACATTGACATTTCGTTTTCAGTCACTGTTTGAACCTATTTTATTAAAAATCTCCCCTTCACAGTATCTGTCTCATACTCTTTACCCACTAACGTGACCCCTGTCTAGATCTACTTCCGTCTATAGATACACATCACAGCTGCCTAACATCACACTGCCAGTATGTGCCAGCTTCTGTTATTTGGAGATGGTTACACCAAAACAGTGCTAAGTTAAATTTACGAACAATACTATTGTCACATATAAATGGGATTCAAGAGTAAAGTCTGTGGTAGGAGTTATGTAACCAGACCTTTAAGTCTCAGAATGTGGCAAAATGCTTTGCAAAGGACAAGTTCTGTCTCACCTAGTGGTAAAAGGTATGGTTGAAATATAAAATAGGTCATGGATTTGTAAAAATTGTGGTCAGAAACACATGACATAGAGTCTGCCGTATCAGAAGTGTTAAGTATATTCACATGGTTGTGAAAGGGCATTTTTATATTGCCCATATTTTATGAAGACCAGCACTGACCTTTTATTTCTAATTTTCCTTGGTGACATTTGCTGATTTTGGATTAATATTTGGAGACCAGTCTAATATTTTTCCTCTTAGGACAACATAAATAGAATTTGTAGCTTCTGCTGCCAGAGCCTCTGTATGCAATTTATTGTTGGCTTGGTTAAGCAGCTGTAATGTTATGTCATTAACCCATTGATTTTGGCTCTCTCACCTTAGTAAGCTTTTCCATGGCAATTAATTGTACTAAAAAAAATTCTGGATCCATTATAAGGATTCAGTGAAAGGCATCGGATTTTATTCCTCTGATATTACTTCTCAGCCCCTCCATTGGGGCTTCTAGAACCTTGAATTGTGCTTTACATGCATTTAAGAACCACAGACTAAGTTTTGAGTGTGGTTGCATACGCCACACTGGACTTATTAATAAATAAGGTGGTCTTATTTACATCATTCATTATTCAATACAACTTGCAAGCTGGAGTTGAAAGCATGTTGTCTTCCTGGTGAAGGTATTTACAGAATTCAGCTCAGCACAACCATTTGAAATCTTCTTAGTTTCATATCTTCTATCTCTACATCGAGGAGGTTTTTATTACATTGGGTAAAACAACTGAGAGATCCCCTGACCTTCTGACCCTACTTTCTTCCACCTCCCCCTTTCCATCACCTCTCATTGACTATAAAGGAAAATGTGTTTGATTTTTTTTTCTTCTCCGAAAAGTGATATTTCCTTATGGGAATTCGGAGCACTAGAGTTAAGAGAAGAGCCTGGGTTATATGCTATTAGAAGCAAGTAATGGGAAGTTGAGATGATGTGGTCAGAGCTCTCCAGCACTGTGTTTAGTTCTGTTTGAGATCTTTCAGTATTTCTATCCCATAAACCTCTGTTTGTGTTTTTTCAGTATTCCCTTGTAAAGACATTTTCTAAGCCGAAAAGTTGGCTGAGCAGCTGAGAGTTGAGGTCTCTTTCTCCTCAGGAACATTCTGTATGATTTCTTTGACTATCTCTAGGTCATAGGGCTATAAAACCTAGAGTTTTTATTTAGCTGGGGAAAGGGAATTGAATTTCTTTTCTTTTTCTGTTTTAGGTTTCTTTTTCTTCTTTTCCTTCTTTCTCTTTCTCTCTCTCTCTCTCTTTCTTTCTTTCTTTTTTCTCCCTTGCTTCCTTCTTTCCTTTCCTTTTTTTTTTTTTTAACCTTTGGTACCAAGCAAGTGCCTCTTGTTTTAACTCATTGCTCATCTTGCCTGTTAGGAAGAGAAACATTATCAAGCCATTACTGAATATCATACCCTGACATTATCCCTCCAACTAACTTTACCACTTTTCTAGAGACCTTCTTATAGGTTCAAAAGCTGTGGGGTAGAATGTGGCATTGAACCTGCTGCTCCTTAGAGCAATACCAAGTTTTGGTTCTTCTTAGTGTTTACAAATCAATTGGGTGATTTGGGGGAGTGGTTATTAAGACAGGGTGATGTTTTTCTTGTTTGATGTGTGTGAGAGAAAGAAAGAGATAGAAAAAAACCTGAGCCTTGCGTTATTAATAGTTGATTGATCATTGTCATAATCTATTTGGTCTAAGTCTTTAAAACACAAATCTCACTACCCAGGTGGCAGAGATCTGAGCTCTGCCGTGGCCTGATAATTTTAGCTCCATATTTGATTTCTTTATTTTTATTTTTTAACATCTTTATTGGAGTATAATTGCTTTACAACAGTGTGTTAGTTTCTGCTGTATAACAAAGTGAATCAGCTATACATATACGTATATCCCCATA